CTCGAAGTAGGGTTGCCTAAGCACACAAATGAAAAGGGTATTATGCCTACCAGACCCATCGGGCTACATCAAACCGCAGCTTGACAAGCTCGGATAGGGCAGGGTAGGCAAACTTGGACAGAGTGCCAACAAGTCTATCAGAATGCCTAGCTCAGACAACCTGCACCACCCTCTCTCTCTCTCTCTCTCTCTCTCTCTTTCACTCACCCACATTGTGGCTTCACAGAATACGCGTGCGATTGGCCAAAGTCACAGACTTTCATCGTAACTTTGTCCACTAGTCCAGTGTGCGCATACTTTGGCTTGTTGCGAGCGTAGAAAAGCTGTACTGTCCGGCGACTGCGCAAAGGAGGAAGACAGACAGAGAGACAACGATAGAGAGAGAGAGAGAGAGAGAGAGGGGGAGGGTAAGAGAGAGATCACACGATGCCAGCCTCATCGTCTATCCAACAGGGCCAGAACAAACCATGACAAAGGACTGACCCCAGTTTGGCTGGAGTTGAGGCGAGGGTGGAGACCGGTGAAGAGAGAAATGCCGAGAAGGCAACAGGCCAATCAGCGCTCTTGGGATAAATTAAACTCCTCTTTGGCCTTGCCTCCACTTCTCCGAAGCTTGGTGAACCCCTCCCCTTTTCGGATGCGGTGCTTTCGGTCAGGTTGGCCCCTCTACTACGCGAAAACATGACGCGATAAGCCTTGGCAGCGTCATTTTGCCTCGACCTGGCCTCATGATTGGTCTAGACGCAATGTCTCTGGATGAAGTGGACAATGTGGACGATGTGGAGAACGTGGATGAGGTGGAGGTGGATCAAGTGACTTTCGGGTGGCTGGCGAAAGTGTGGAAAGAGAAGAGCGGTCGCGGTGGCCGTGACAGATTGGGTCATGTTGGACCGGCACTTGATGGGCAAACTGCTGACAGCGCGACCTTCAGGCAACAAACAGAGCTCTGGGGCTTGTAGCCGAGCGGTGGGTTGCGGGGCTGTCGTCAGGCCGAGGAGTCGAGATGTACCACAAGCTGATTCGGCCCAACTACAACCTACCAATCCGTGTACCGTATCGATTAGACACTACTTGCCGGGACAGACGGATGAAGAGAGACAACTTTTCGCAGCCAGGCTGAGTAGCAAGTAAACTGTACCAGGTACATGTTGTCCCGCTTTGTCTGTTTGTCGTCTTCGCGACGGCATCACATTCTACACAAGTTGTCCCAGTTGCTGAGCTCCGACCCACCTGTTGACTTGTTTGTCTCCACGTCTGTGTCTGGCTGTCAGGCTGGAGTGGCCATGGTGATCGGCCGGTCTGGCCGCGTCGGTCCTGCCAACCGGCTTCGCCAGACTTGGCCACAATCGCGGATAGACGAGACAAGGTTGGCCCAACTTTGTCTGGTCGCCTGACGACTTTTGTCCAACCAAACTTCGGCCGCGCTTAACCCGTCAGAAGTCACGACGTTGGGACTGGGTGGTGTGCGGATCGTGTCGCGATTTGCTGAATTTCTCTTGTCGCCTAGGCTACACTCAAACTGTCGGTCCGTATGGTCCGGTACTGCTGGGCCTCGATCCCGTGGCACAAGCTCAAGTCATCTCTGTCAAATTACAGTAAAACTGGAGAAGAAAATACGAAGAGTAACTGTACCAATATCTTCAACACACACACACAAACACACAACATTGTTAGGATAACTTCATTTGACATAAAAGTGCGCGAAGAAGGGACTCGAATGTAGATCTAACTAGATTCGCGTTGTACTGCAGCCGTTTGCTTTTAATATGACGTCCACGAGACATCCTCACCCGTTTCGGTTTCATAATTTGATGAAGATCATCAGAGCTGGAGGTCATTTTGGTAACTAGCTCGTAGATGTGACTACCAAGACGGTCCTGCTGTTTGGTCGCAGTCTCCTTTCGTTGTATAGAAGTTGTTTGAACTTGTTTTCGCAACTTGGTCATGTTGGTAGG